GCCAGGAGTAACCCCTGTGCATCGCCGGGTATGACCCCAAAAGCAAAAAATAAAATAAAATAAAGTGCCTGTCCGGAACAGTAGTACAGTGGATAGGACATTTGCCTTGTGTGAGGTCCACCTAGGTTCTATCCCCAGCGCTACCTATAGTTCCTCAAGCTTCCAGGAATGATCTTGAGCACAGAGACAAGAGTACATCCTGAGCACCGCTGGGTATAACCCCCAACAAACAAGCAAACAAACAAACAAACAAACAAAAAACTTCCTGTCAAAGAGGCAGGCTGGTGGGAACTTTGGGACATTGGCAGAAGGAAGTCAGCACTGGGGATGGAATTGGTGTTAGAATATAGAATGCCTGAAATGCAATCACAAGTAACATTGTAATTAAAGTGACTTGATATTAGTTTTTTTAAATTTCGAGTAAAAATTTTTACTTGGATGGTTTATCCATATTAATAAAGAGTTTTCATTATTTTATCTCTGATCAAATGTGACATAGCTTATTTAAAAGCCACAGTAGAACATCAATTGTGTGTACAAGGTAGCAATTTAAATGTTTAGTATGTATTTTGGTTTGGTGCCAATACTTGGCTGTGCTCAGGGCTTATTCCTGGCTCTGTGCTCTGGGATCACTCCTGATGCCATGGGATCAAATCCAGGTTAGTTGGGTGCAAGGCAAGCACCTACTCGCTGTACTATCTCTTGCCCCATTTTTAGTATTATCCAATTGGAAACCTTTTTAAAAAATTATTTATTTTTATTGAATCATTGTGAGATACACTGTTACAAAGCTGTTCAAGGTTGAGTTTCAGTTGTATCTAAATATAAGACCTGAATCCATAAGCTCCATGGAGGAAAATGTAGGCAGAACCCTCTATGACATTGAAGCTAAAGGCATCTTAAAAGATGAAACAGCACCTACCACGCAAGTGGAAGCAGAGATAAACAAATGCAGTGAAGCTTCTACATCTCAAAAGAAAGATGCAGAGACAGACCACTGAATGGGAAAAACTATTCACACAATGCCCATCAAATAAGGGATAATAACCAAGATATATCAGGCACTGGTAGAACTTTAAAAGCATCCCATCCCATTAAAAATAGGGAGAAGAAATGAACAGAAACTACCTCAAAGAAGAAATACAAAAGACCAAAAGGCACCTGATAAAATGCTCTACATTGCTAATCATGACAGAGATGCAACTAAGAACAACAATGAGATATCAACTCATGTCTCAGAGACTGGCACACATCAAAAAGAAGAAGAAAAACCAGTGGTGGCATGAATGTGTGGAGAAAGGAACTCTTATTCATTGTTGGTGAGAAAGCCATCTGGTCTAACCGTTTTGGAAAATAATAAGGATATTACTCAAGAAACTAGAAATTGAGTTCTCATTTGACATAGTAACTCCACTTCTGGGAATAAAGGTATCTCAGAAGTGGAATAAAGTAGAAGACTCTTTCTTTATGAAATTCTGTTAAATGTGTGTGTCCTCAGTGGAGTACTATGTAGCTGTTAGAAAAGATGAAGTCATGAAATTTACATACAAGTGGTACTACATGGAAAGTATCATGCTAAATGAAATGAGTCAGAAAGAAAGGGACAGACATAGAAAGATTGTATTCATCTAGGGAACATAAAGTAACAAAATAGGAGACTACCACCCAAGAATAGCCAAGATAACAAGGAGGTTCACTCCATGGTTTGGAGGCCAGCTGCACATTCTAGGGGAAAAGGCAGCTCAGATAGAGAAGGGAGCACAAAATAAAGGGTGTTGGGAGGATCCCCCCAGGATGGGAGATGCATGCTGAAAGTAGACTATAGACCAAACATGATAGCCACTCAATGCCTCTTTTGCAAACCACAGCACCCAAAAGGAGAGAGAGAACAAAAGGGAATGTCCTGCCACAGAGGCAGGGTGTGTAGGAGGGGTGGGGGGTGGGTGGGATACTGGGATCAGTGGTGGTGGAAAATGGGCACTGGTGGAGGGAGGGGTACTTGATCATTGTATAATTAAAACCCAAGCACAAAAATTTGTAAATCTACAACTGTACCTCATGGTGTTTCACTAATGAAAATTAAAAATAAAATAAAATATCCTATAAGAAAAAATGTGTGTGTACTCTTGGTAGCTGTGAAGCATGGAGAGACAGAGCAAGTGTTGTGCGTGTTGTGTAAGAGATCCATGACGTGTATTGTCATGACAACCTTATAATGTCTTTATGATTTTCACCTCTTTTTATACATGAGAAAGTGGAGGTTTAGAAAACTTGAGTTACCACCATGATCATACAGATAATAACTGATTTTTTCAATTTAATACAGTAAATCAGGTAAGGAAAATACAGGACCAATTGAAGAACAGATCTAAGGAGAATGAGATAATAAGATGTTGCTACCAAATGTAACTTGCCCACATGGTAGAGTCTGGTAAACTCCCTGTGGTGTACCCAATATGCCAAATACCAGTAACAATGATGGGTCTCATTCTCCTAAACCCTGAAAGAGCCTTGAATATGTCACTTTTTTAAAATCTGAGGACTAGGACGAAGGAGATGTTACTGGTGCCTGCTCGAGGCAATTGACGAACAACAGGATGATTGTGATCGTGATCTAAGGAGAACTGAAACCAAAGATAGCTACTGAATATTCTGGAAGAAAGTGCTGAAGAATGAAGGCAGGTTCTGATCTTGGTCTTTTAGAATATCTCTGGGAAGATTGACAGATGGAAGCTGGACTATGTCTTGGCATCTGAGAAGAAACAGAGGTTTGGAGACATGAAAAACCAAGGTGTAGAGCTGTCCCAAATAATGGCTTGTGAATGTCTCAGAAACACTCCAGAATGATAGAGTGCAGCCTTTGATATGTTACTTTACATCAAGAGATATTATGTAGAACAGACAGGTTTGGGTTCAGGTAGTTTTGACGGAAAGATAAATTGCTCCCACAGCATTGTGGATCTTCATAGAATTCTCCATGGAGAGGAGACATTGACGAGGCCAGTGGCCATTGCTATGATATTTCCTGATGTATTATGAATTGATTCTGAAAATGACAGGAAATAGAGAAAAACTTTTGAGCATAGCATGGAGACTTTGCCTGAAAATTATCCAAGAGGTCTCACTTGGGGAGAAGGAAAGTGAGGAGAGTTTAAGACACCTTGAATTCATCATTCTATTTTTTTATTGTTTTAAATATAAGCCTTTTTAATTGCCTTACTCTGCTACATATTACTAATATTTGCTAACTGACTTGAATGGCTGACGGTCTCAGACTCTATACCTGGCCAATGTTTCTGTATCTAGTTTCAACATAGTTTCTTAGAGAATATGTATCTCTTGAAACAATCCATCACATGCTATTTTGTATATATGAACTCATGTTTTATAGGTTGTCTAAAAAAGTACGGGGGGGGGAATGAGGGTTGGGGGGGGGATGCTGGGACCCGTGGGGATGGATGACGGGCACTGGTGGAGGGATGGGCACTTGATCATTGTATAACTGAAACCCAAGCACAAAATTTGATTTGTAAGCCTATAACTGTACCTCATGGTTTTTCACTAATAAAAAAAGAAAAAAAAGTATAATTAATTTTTTTCTTCTTTCTTGTAGGACCCAGAAGGGGGAGAAACATCCATATAGGAAGTACTACAAATCCTGGAATTGTAACTTTCCCTGATTTCAAGATTCCATTCTATATTCTATCTTAAGTATTTAAAATTATTTGTTGTTGAAGTTCTTTTGATTATAAGCAGTAGATGTACCTATAATTATGGCATGGGTTTGTGGAAACATTTATATATGACCAAAAATAGCTGATGTAAAGAAAGTTTGTTTCCTACTATTTCTCAGACTCAGTGAGTGTCCTTTCTCCTCTTCCTATAGGGACATCTGCACAGCTTCTCTGAAGCAAGGAAAGGGTTTGACAGAGAATGACCAGCGCCAGCACCAAGATAGTCTGTTCTATCCAACTCAGTGAACATGTTTCATAGAAAAAGCCAGGCTGGGAACACTGTGAGACAGACACTGCCCCAAAGTTTCTAAGAGTTTCATAGAACAGAAACATGTTGCAAATGGACTAAGTCCACTAGTAGGTGTTTCAGAGTCTGCAAAAACATTCAAATTATGTCAGACAATAACTCCTAGGACATTCTAAGACATACATGGAAAATTTCATATTGCATAATGTCTTGAAACCCTAACACTTCAACATACAGAGGAAATAAACATTTATGAATTCCCCCCACCCTTGTGTGCCAAGAACTCAGTTCCTTACTATTTCTTTTTTCCAGTTAAGAATGTTAAGTATCAGAGAAATTTATAGGACTATTCAGGTCATGTAGCTTTTAAATGGTTAGCTCAAATGAGAACCCAGTTCTACCTGATGACTACATGCTCCTTTGCTCTTTCCTTTATCCATACCTTCCCTCTAAAATTATTCTGGGAGCTGGAAATGTGGCTCATGGGTAGAGTAAATGCTTTGCATGTGTGAAGACTTGTATTTCATTGACACTGAAAAAAAAATTTCACAGTATCTTTGAGTTGTCTCATCTTCAAAACTGCATTTGATCATTTCAAGCTTCATCTTATCAAATGATCCTAAACACATAATCCACATTTCTGTCCTATAGTATATTCTGTGGTATCTAGTAATATGATAGAACTTTAGAAGTGGTTGGTTGATCATTGCCTTTAAATTTAAATATTTTCTAGCTAAATATATACTATGGTATACCAGAGAATGTACAGCAAGAAAGAAATTACACTATGCATACAACTCTTCTTAAAATGCATATTTTTATCTAGAATTTAAAAATCTTTCAGACACAGTATATTAGGTTATCCACTGTGGTCATTGTCCACTAGCACAGAATTTGGCCAAGGATTTTAAGATGCAGAATGATCAATAAAATTCTATATCTACATTTGTGTTCCTAGGCAAGTTAGTTAATCTCTCTGGGAGAAATTTTTCTGATGATAAAATTGAGATATTAACGTAATGCATTCTCAAATATTTATGTGAGTATAGAATGAGTTAATACATAAAGCAATGAACACAATGCTTAACCCTTACTACAAGCTCATTTGAATAGTAGATGTAATCAGTAGGTGAATTAGAGATATGACTTGAGGGAACCTACATTTTTTTGAATGTTTTGTTTTCACAGGTATGGTTTATGGACTACTAATGCTAAGTACAGAGAGGACTTCACAACAACAGGAGCTATGCAATTTGAGATTAAGATATATGGTAATGTCTCAAAAGAGAGAATACCCACTGACATGATTAAGGTCAGTATTTGGTTTACTTATTAAGTGTCTTGGACTCTAGCCATAAACTCTGTGCTCTGCTTAACTCTGACATAGAAAAAAGCAGCCTGAACATATATTTGCTTTGCCTTTTACCACCTGATCTGATCACTTCCCTTCACTCCCTTGGCTTAGTTCTCATTTAAAAATTAATTTATGTTCTACAGATAATAATGTCTTGCCATGGTGAGAGTTTGAGATTGATGTTCTGATTTTGTATAGAGTGAAAGAGAATCGCTAAACACCAGATATGCTAATGAATGAACTCATTCTCAATTTAACAAACACTTGTGAACATCATCAAACACTATATAAAAGTCATAGGAAAAGACCTTTACACAATAAGGAAAACTGAATCTTGGTCTTATCAGACTTTTGATAGTAGCACATGGTCTTCGGTGGAGATAGCATTGTTAGAGGAAAGATGAGGTTCATCTCTATAAGGCTCCCCATGTATGTGAATAGTGGGCATGACAAGGAAAAGGATATTAATGTTATTGATATTTATCTATCCCCTTGAAGCAAAAAAATTCTACTTGAATAGAAGTTTTAATAATAAATGTGTTCTTTCTTTCTTATGTTTATTTTTAGAAGGAGCAGAGTATGTCTTAGTAGAACCAGAAAACAATGTTATCAGCTATAAAAACCTACAGGACTTCAAGATTAATATAAAAGCTAGGTAAGAAATTTTTTATTTTCTGATTCATCAAGCCTCTGAATGCAAAAGTATTTAATTTTGGGAGTGAGTCAAATATGATGATTTCCAGCGGGTTTTGTGTTGATAAAGGCTGATTCAAAATTTTAAATAATGTAATTAAAAATAGCTGCCATAATAACTGCAGGTGAGTTCAATACTTATCAGAAGTATATTTGTTGATTTGGTACTCAAAGGTGTTTTATAACTTTGTAATAAATAATCAAAAATATTGAATATCACACTGACTATTTAGGTGACTCCAATTACTCAGGTAGTGAAATGTGATGTTGAAAAATCTAGTTCTTTTTATTTGTGGCAGTTAATATTAATAAATTGTACAACTTAATTATTTAAAGTTATTCTAGAATTTATTAAATAGACCCAGATATCATACTGTAGCACCATAGCACTGTTGTCCTGTTGTTCATCAATTTGCTCAAGTGGGCACCGGTAACGTCTCCATTGTGAGATTTGTTGTTACTGTTTTTGGCATATTGAATATGCCACGGGTAGCTTGCCAGGATCTGCTGTGCGGGTGGGATACTCTTGGTAGCTTGCCAGCTCTCCAAGAGGGACAGAGGAATAGAATCTGGGTTGGCCGTGTGCAAGACAAACATTCTACCTGCTGTGCTATAGCTCCAGAAATCATACTTGCAGACAAAGTGGTAAGAATACCGGTTTGCTGCTTTATATTTAAATAGAGAGAGTTCATGTTTTTCTTTGAATGGAAAGATAAATATGTGACTAATTGCAGGATAACATTGTGGGAGAGACCTTACATCTCTTGATTATATGATGACTGTCATTGTCACTGTCACTGTCCTCTCATTGTTCATTGATTTGCTCGAGCAGGCCCAGTAACATTGTGAGACTTGTTGTTACTGTGCGTGGCATATCGGATATGTCATGGGTAGCTTGCCAGGCTTTGCCGTGCGGGCGAGATACTCTTGGTAGCTTGCTGGGCTCTCCAAGAGGGAGGAATCGAACTTGGGTCGGCCTCGTTCAAGGCAAATGCCCTACCTGCTGTGCTATCGCTCCAGCTCAACACCTATGTGTAATTGCTATCCCAATCCCCTCATGACATAGTCTGTAAGAGGGTCAGAAGGAGGAGGAGGAAAAGAGAGTGGGGAAGGAGAGAATGAAGGAGAATACAAGAGAGGAATCAAGGAGAATCCAAGGGGAGAATCAGGGAGGATGGGGGGGAGGGGAATTAGGAGAGAATGGAGATGAGATTGGAGTAAACTGCAATTGATACCAACCAGCCTGACCCTCTTTTCCTCCATTGTCCGCCCATTGTCATCGGTCTTCCAGGGTGGGGGAAGCGGCCTGAGACCAACAAATACAGACTGTGAGAGAGTTGCCAGCTTTGTATTCATTTTTTGAATACACAGTTAACATACAAACAGCGGTAGGGGTTTGCCTTGCACGCAGCCAACATGGCCGACCCGAGTTCGATTCCTCCGTCCCTCTCGGAGAGCCCGGCAAGCTACCAAGAGTATCTCGCCCGCACGGCAGAGCCTGGCAAGCTCCCAGTGACGTATTCGATATGCCAGACCCAGTAACAACAAAGTCTCCAATGGAGACGTTACTGGGCCCGCTTGAGCAAATCGATGGACAAGGGGAGGACAGTGACAGTGACAGTGACCCTTGGGATCAATGTGATACTAACTCTTTCATTAAATGGGCAGCAGAAGTTTAATGACTCCTTCTACAGACACATAGGTTGAAACTCAGTTCTGTGCTAACTTATTATGAACTCAAAATATATGGAAGTGGAATAAGTTCTTTCTGTCATCTTGGGACTCCAGTTCCTCATTTGTCAACTAATAGAAATGGCTACTTTACTTCAGCACTGGTGGACTCTGAATGAAATGCATTAGTGAACACCAACTCTGTTTCCAGAGAGAAAAGCAAAATTCTAGTGGTTACATTAGATTTCAATAACAAAATTACTTTTGAGAAAAGGAGTTAAGGACTGGAAAGATGGTAAGGCATTATGACACTTGCTTTGTAAGGAGTTGACTTCTGTTTGATTCCCAGGCACTGTGTGTGGTCCCTGAGCATAAGTCAGGAGGTTGCCCTGAAAACTACCCGTGATTTCTCCCCAAGGACCCAAATGCCCAAAACAATAACAAAACCCAAAAGAAGTTAACCATATTTTCTTTTAACAGATATTATGATAGTACTAACATATCTGAGGGGGGTGTTTTTGCCTTTTTTTTGGAATAAAAGAAGATTTAGATGATAACGGAAAAGAAATGTTACTTGCAGGAATACAAACGACAAAGGTAAGAAGAGATAAATCAGTCTTTACAGAAATGGAGAATTGGGGCAAGCTAACCAGAATACATAGAATAAAAGTGGACTTTCCTCTTTAAGAATTTACAGAACTAAGCCAAACCAATAAGACATTGGGCTTGGAAATATATATGACTTGAGCTCCCAAACGCTGGTTTCTAAAGAAGTCTCATCATTTTGTGGACCTGATATCCTGCAATTTCAATCCTTAAATTTGGATCCATCAGATATGGTGGTACCCAATTATGCCTCAAATTTTTAACATGATTAGACATCAGAGATTTTCAGTCCCATCAAAATCTTTCCTAGGAAGGAAGAACATGACCTGATGCTGAAGGCTTACATGAAATGATCCAAATAACTACAATATTGGGGACTGGCAGTAGATGGGGTGGGGGGGGAGAGACGTATGTGTGTGTTGGGGGAGGTGGTGGGAAGGGAGGTTTGCAGGGAGGTTTAGACCACGGTCTGCAAAGCTCAGGGGGTGACTCCTGGCTCTGCACTCATGAATTACTCCTGGCAGTGCTGGGGGACCATGTGAAATGCAGAGGATTGAACCCTAGAGGGACGGCCATGTGCAAAGCAAACACCGTACCTGCATCAAACAATGCCATTTTCAAGGGAAGATTTTGCAGACAGATGAAAGAAGAACTTGTGGTTGTGTCTCTATGAGTTTTGTAAATTATTGCCTCTCCCTTTTTGTACTCTTTTAAAAAAATCAGCTGGTTGGTGGTGTTGCACAAATCAGTTTTAATACTACAAAGGATATTAAAAATTTAATATTTTTGTGGACATACGTGCAGGTAAGTTCCTATAGTAATATATAAATTCATTTCTAATTGCTTTTCCTTTCTATTTTTCCCCCCTAAATTTCTATTATTTCCCCCTAAATTTCTATTTAAATAAATTTCTATTTATTTCCCCCTAAATTTCTATTATTTCCCCCCTTTTATTTCCCTTTGAATCTTTTGCCCTGACCTAGGTCAGAGGTTTGGTTGGGTTGTGGCTCTGCAAACTTGATTGCAATGCACAACAGGAATCACAGTTCTGGTTTTGACATACATGCTCTTGGCCTTGGGGTTAGTTCACTGTCATATGTATTAGTTTTAGTAGAACTTGTGCAATTTTTGGTAATAATTACTGATCATAATATGACCCCAGGGGTCATCTTTCACATTTCAAAGTCTACAGTTTACTCGGTAACTGATATTGATTCAGTATTTGGCAAGTACAGTCGCTCTATCAAAATACTATCCATGAGCTCCATGGAGCTGGAGTGCTTATTACTGTGAACTGCCGTATAAAATAAAAAAAATTAAAAGAAAAATAAAATAAAAGTTTCTTTCTATAATAGTGACCCACCAAACCATGCCTGCAAATGATAGCCTTTTATCATAAAGAATAATTGATGGTGCCATCTGAAAATTTTACTTTTACAAATTCAGCAGAATTAATAAAATAATGAAAACTTCATTGTCATTTGGATTCTGTCTTAAAATTTTTAATGAAATATCACAAGATTTTTTTTTTTTATCATACTGACACAGGAGAGGCAGAAGTGGTGGTGGCAAGTCTCTGTGTTCCTTCAGTATTCCCTGGGTTCTTCAATATTTTCAAGAATGAAAATCTTGAATAATAAAGATGTTCAGAGTTGGAAAGTAGAAAAGTTTATTGGAATGGAGAAGAGAAAAGTAAAGGAGCTCCCCAAGTGGAGAGGAATTTAGTATTGGACTAAATTAAAAGGGAGTTTTGTGTAACCCCTTCTAAAGGCTCTCTGGTCAATTGAATTTCTTTTGATATTCAATTGAAAAATATTACAAAGGATGCAAAAAAAGTTACAGATAAAGGCTCTTCCTGTAGAACCTTTTAGATGGAAATTGGGTTCTTATGTTTCTTATTAATTAAAGACTTAACTGGTTTAGCTTTCTTGTCTTTTGACTCAGGCACTGTGAGCCTAAGCTCCAGGGCAGAATTTTATGGTTCTGGGTAATTCCTGGAACGTTAAGACAGACTTGGGGATGAAGTATGCGTTAGGTGGATGGGGAATGGCAGAGAAAGCTGTGACTTTCTCTCTCACTGAGAAGGGGAAACTGAGGCTGCCCTCTTCAACAATGCCCAGAAATGCTTTGACTGTGGCCTTGCAAATAATAACAAGCTGTGTGAACATATGTGCATGAATTTTCCCACAGGAAAGTGTACACTTCAGGACCTGAGACTATTTCTATTTTTTGTTTTAATTATTCAATGAGAAAATGAGATAAATTATCTGATAAATCAAATGGTCTAGACAAGAACACAGTTGTTGAAACTGATGAATGGAACTCTTGCCAACCTCCTGACAACCACACTTTATTGGTTCATCGAGGAATCAGGTTCTTTCAGGATGAGCAGAGAAATCATCCAAATATAGGTTTGTAATTCTTTATTAAATGACCAGGGAATAAACGAATGACATATTCTTAACCAAATGAAGAAAAGCACAGAGTGGGAACCAAGGAACATGGAGATGTTACATTATGTGTGCCACATTTTCAGAGTAATGCATATTATTCTACTAGATTTATTCTATGAAAACAAAATAACTGATATCAAATACAGCTTCTCATTCTACACTCTGGACTTGGTTGCCACTCCTCTTTTTCTGAAGCCTGGAATTCCATTTACCATTAAGGTGAGATGACTAGAAAATCTAATATGGTACATTTTGAGTCTATGCTGGGTAGAGAATCTCTGAGAGCTATTGATCCTTTGTGGACTACAAGGTAGATAATAAAATGGAGAAGAGATTGAGGAGACAAAGAGTAAGACAAGGCAATCATAAAGACTGTAATGCAAAAAGGAGAACAAAAATAATAACAACAAACAACTGTCTAGTTACTGTTCTGGCAATAATTTTACCAATCCATGTCAAACACTAATCTAACAATTCAGTCACTAGACTTTGAACTGCATGTAATTATTTTACATATCTGAAATTCTTAAAACACGACCATAGTAGAAATGCATTTGATTACTAGCTTAAATCCAGCAAGTTTGTGCCTGGGAGTGAAAGAGGGAATTTATTTAAGGTTTGCTAGTAAAAAAATCAATGGTGGAAATAGAGGGGAAGTGCAGGGGTTCCTGGAACATTCTTGGGGGGAGCAGAGATTCTTATGGAGAATGATATTGGGAAAATGTGTGCAGGAAACTATTACTAATAGTACTAAAAATCATAGTTCATAAAAAAATGGTAAAATTTTAATAGAAGAGTCATGATATATGTGTTATTTTCTATTACATTATTTGCTACCATAAAATATAGACTAATCTATTAAAAGTCAATGCTAGGTAATGTTTAGTTTGTTGCATTCTTACAATTAATGGTGTTAACGAGCTATTGAAACGGATTTATTCCAGTAGGTACAGGAGAATGCTGCTGGCTACTATACAGGAGAGGGGTTGCAGTAATACTGGAAGGAATATTTGATAAAACCCTGACTAAAGAGCTAGGAATGATGCAAAGTACCACAGATTCCGATGGAGTAGTCTCATTTATCATTAACATTCCCTCTGATGTGGCAACATTGGATTTTCATGTGAGCAGAATTATGATGTGTTGTACTTCAAATGTACTTGAACCTGAGCAGTAATTAGTGTGCCTGATAGAGGGGAACATTTTATTGTATGTCTCATGAACTTCTCACAAACATTTGACCCATCATCACAAGAAGTACAATTTCACATACTGAACACTCCATGAAGAGCATGATCCTATTAGTTCTGTATCTAGGAGTCAATTTTTTGCCTCTTTTTCTAAACAACATTGTGCTACTTTAAGTGACAAATTTAAAGCAAGACTACCAATGGAATACAAGAATTAGAGTCATCTCCATTATTTCCTATTTTCATCCTCTCCTTCAATTCACAGGTGAAATCATATTTTTTTTGCATTCTGTTTTTCCCCCTCCCACATCTCCTCAAATTATTGAAATCTGGATTATGCACCTGCTACAGCATTGGAAATTTTCTCATCGAATTTATCTGTGTGTTTTGCTAAGCTCACAGTAATGTTTTCAGTCCTCTTTCAAGCTCTCTGCAAGGCAAATAACTGGTGGGCCAAGGGACCTTTTCTCTTTAAACAATCTATTATTGCCTTCTGTAGTTCACTTGCTTTTGAGCTTTGTTATTTTATTTTTGTCTTTTTGTAAGACTCCTACTGGTTCTTGGGGATTTCTATTAGTGACATTTGGGGAACCAGGATGAAACATAGGCACATGTGTAGCCCATTATGCTCTCAGTTCCCTCTTATTTCCTTACTTTAAAACTTTTCTCCTTTTCTCTCTTCTAGTCTTCACTTTTGATCAGTAATCTCTTGTTTGTTAGCTACTTTGGGGTGATTCTCAGGTTATGTTCACCCTATCCTTTCTTTTTATATGAAAGATTTTTAGTTGAAATATTTCTATGATTCAGTCTTCTCTAAAATAAATTAATACTTTAATATCTTTAAAATATTAAAGATATTCTATCCAGTCAAGACATTTCTAGGGATTGTCACTGTCACTATCCTCCCGTTGTTCATTGATTTGCTTGAGCGGGCCCAGTAACGTCTTCATTGTGACAATTGTTACTGTGTTTGGCATATTGAATAAGTCACAGGTAGCTTGCCAGGCTTTGCTGTGTGGGCAAGATACTCTTGGTAGCTTGCTGGCCGGGCTCTCCAAGAGGGGCAGAGGAATCGAACTCAGGTCAGCCATGTTGGCCGCTTGCAAGGCAAATGCCCTACTCGCTGTGCTATCGCTCCAGCCCTTAATATTTTCATAACTTTTCATTTGGTGGGGGGGGGGCATACCTGGCAGTGCTAAGGATTTACTCCTGGCTCTGAGCTCAGGGATCATTCCTTGCAGACACAGAGGACCATATGGAGTGCCAGAAAATAAACTCTGGTCAGCCATGTGCAAGGCAAGTACCTCACCCACTGTGCTGCTTCTCTGGCTCCACTTTTTCTCATACTTTTTTCAAAAGTATAGGACTTAATTTTGTAATTTTTCAGCCACTCTCATCAGTACTCAATACTTACTCCTGGATCTGTGGTCAGGGATAATTCCTAGTGGAGGTCAGGGACCAAACCCAGGTTTGGTCTCATACCAGGCAAGCATCCTATAAGCTATACCAACACTCCAGTCCCCGTAAGACTCTGTATAAAACTACACACCTCTTTCCACCTCCAACCTAGATCTCCAGGGTGGCTTGTTTTAGCAAATGGTCTGCAACCACCCTGTACCTCTCTCTACATGTGGCAGGAGTCACCTCTGATCTCAAGTGACCCTGTCCTAGACCCTCTCCACAGACACTGCTTACTGCCCGCCCACAATACCTCAAATTCAGTCATTGTGAGGTAGTTTTTTTTATCACCTAAACGTTCTGTTCTCTACTGTTGTAGGGTCTTTGAATTCTCCCTGTTTTTGAGTCCTTAATGCCTATCTTTTGGTTCCAAAAGGGTATATTTATTTTCTCTTCCCTTTCAGAGTGAAGGAGTTAAAACAGGTGTTATGCACACCCAATAAGAGAGAGGGAACAAAAGGGAATGCCCTGACACAGAGGCAGGGTGGGATTGGGGGGGATGGGGAGTGGGAAGGATACTGGGATCCGTGGTGGTGGGAAATGGGCACTGGTGGAGGGATAGGTATTTGATCATTGTATAATTGAAACCCAAGCACAAAAATGTGTAAGTCTGCAACTATACCTCATGATGTCTCACTATTAAAATTTTTTAATAAAAAATTAAATAAAAACAACAGGTGTTATGCAGACAAAGCTTATATTTTTTCACTGAGCCGTGACCCAAGCCCCAGGAGGATCACATTAACACATGTTCTCGAAGGATACTTCTCTAAGTACCCTGTGATGTAGGAGGAAATTTCACTTTATTTCACTGAGATCTTAATAATTTCAAGTGCCTTCAAATTTCTCAAAAATATATCCTCACCACCTTTGTATCTGTCAACAAGCATACACACTGACAAACTAGGGACAAGAAAATATTAGTTGTCAGAATGAATATATCTATTTCTAAAACTAAAAAATGTTAAAATACGTGTCTCTTCTCTCTCTTAGTGTTTTCCCATTGTATTTCACTGTTTCCAAGTTACCTCCTTAATAATATCTTCATCAAATAATATCCAATTCTTCAGCTTCAAGTTAAACATAGATAGGCCAAATGTGTGTGGGTTAAAGGATTGGTATAGTATGGCATTTATATTTACAAGAATTCCCCATGACCTTACTCTTAAACAGATTATCTTTACTTCCCTTCTTCCTGTATCTCCCCAAGAAGAGAGAATATTATTATTTATTTATTTTTTATTAGTGAAATACTATGAGGTACAGTTGTAGATTTACAAATTTTCATACTTGGGTTTCAGTTATACAATGATAGAGTACACATCCCTCCACCAGTGCCTATTCTCCACCACCAATGATCCCAGTAGCCCTCCCACCCCCCACCCCACCCCCACCTCACCCCGCCTCTGTGGCAGGGCATTCCCTTTTGCTCCCTCTTTCCTTTAGGGTGTTTTAGTTTGCAATAGAGGTATTGAGTGGCCATCGTGTTCAGTTTATAGTCTACTTTCAGCACGCATCTCAAATCCCAAGCGAGTCCTCCCAACATCCTTTATTTGGTGTTCCCTTCTCTATCTAAGCATGTGCTGCTGGCTTCCAAGCCGTGGAGCAGACCTCCTGGTAATTATTTCAACTATTCTTGGGTGTTCAACTCCCATTCTGTTACTTTATATTCCCCAGATGAGTGCAGTCTTTCTATGTCTGTCCCTCTCTTTCTGATTCATTTCACTTAGCATGATATTTTCCATGTAAAACCACTTGTATGTAAATTTCATGACTTCATCTTTGGTACATCTACACAATAGAATACTATGCAGCTGTTAGAAAGAGGAGAGAATATTATTCACCACCACTTCCATTCATAACGAATGGAATGTCCATGCTACATACCTGACTAGAAGAAGATTGAGGATCGAAAACACCACCCCCATCCATATTGATCATCAATAGTGATCAATACTGATCTTTTTGTTGATCATTATTGTTGAAAGGTATGAGTCAGCATTTGACATGTTTATCTCTTATCTTCTTTAGGTCAAAACTTCTATCCCAGAACTTCTAGCCAAATACTAAGCCAGAAAGTACCATGAAGCAGTGGCATACTCATCCCACAGTTGTAGTTTCCTGTCAGTCAGCTGGCCAGACAGTTACAAGACTTTGTTTGTGGGCAGAACTCTGAGCATAACTGTCACCCCTGAAAGTCCTTACGTTGACAATATTACACACTACAATTACCTGGTAAGGTTGATGATATCTAACTTATATCTAGAAACCTACTACACAAAAAAATCACAAATCATCCTGTTATTCGTCGATTGCCTTGAGCAGGCCCCAGTAATGTCTCCTTCATCCTAGCCCTGAGATTATATTCAAGGCTCTTTAGGAGAATGAGACCCATCATTGTTACTGGTATTTGGCATATTGAGTACGCCAAGGGGAGTTTGCCAGACTCTGCCCTGTGGGCAGGCTACATTCGGTAACCTGCCAGTTTGTCCAAAGTAGGAATGAGATAATAAGATGTCATAATAAGATGTCGTGCGGCTGCGTTTGCGGCCGCACGGTTCCGGGATCTGGTTTTTATAGTCTTTGGGTCTTGGCCGCTGATGGGATTAAACAGCGCCAGGGGGCCAGTTGGTGGGTGTGACCCCCGCCTACTGGAATTTGGAGGATCTGGGTGGAGGATGCTCGGCCCAAAACCGAGTAGGCTTGGAGATCTCGGCCCCGGAACCCGCGTGACTTTGTCTCTCTGCCAGTACCTTCATGTGTGCGGAGAGTGGTCTCAGCATGGTGGTGACTGGTCCTGGAGGTCTTTGGCGGCTGCCGGAGCCCTAGTCAGGGCGGGGAGGAAAGCTCAACCCGCTCCCCTCCAAGGGGTCCTGGCGAGCGAGGACAGTCAGGCGCGGGGGCAGAAAACTGCACTCTTCTCTTCCGGGATCTGGTTTTTATAGTCTCTGAGTCTTGGCTGCTGATGGGATTACACGGCGCCAGGGCATCAGTCGGTGGGTGTGACCCCCGCCTACTGGAATTTGGAGGATCTGGGTGGAGGATGCTTGGCCCAAATCCGAGTAGGCTTGGAGATCTTGGCCCTGGAACCCGCTTGACTTTGTCCCTCTGCCAGTACCTTCATGTGTGCGGAGAGTGGTCTCAGCATGGTGGTGGCTGGTCCTGGAGGTCTTTGGCTGCCGGAGCCCTGGTCGGGGCGTGGAGGAAAGCTCAACCCGCTCTCCTCCAAGGCGTGGGGGCAGAAATATTTAAAAGAATTCCTTACTTGAGACAAAGCTGTGCTCAATTGTTAATGAATGAGAGTTGCACTTTGAGATTCCTTTAATGTCTTCTAATTCTTGGAGTGATAGCCTATGGCATGTTGTCAAGGGGTTAAAATTATTTTTTATTGATTGAAAGTTTATGGTTTTCAGTGCTATTAATAATTGCTTGTCATACACATAATCCCAATATCACATACATCACTAGTGTATGCATCTCCCTCTCCCAAGTACCCCATCATTCCTTTTACCCCTTCTCCTCCCCAATTGTGTGGATCAGTTCTCCTATTATGCTGCTTTTGGACACTTGTTGTTACATTGCTATGTGTCTTTAAGTCCCACATATGAGAGGGATCAGTTTGCCTCTGTCCCTTTCTTTCTGACTGACTTCACTCAGCATGATACCTTCTAGTTCCATCCATGTTGCTATGATTGTTGACAAGGTTCTAAAGAGAGCCTTCATTCTGTCTTCAGACTACTCATGCATGCCATTACAAGGGATTTAGTCACTAGGACTTAATTGCAATAGAAAAGAATTTAACCAGATACTCAAGAAAGGATGTAGCATTTTCAGGCAATGATTATTGTTTAAAATAAAATTAAGGTGAGTGTCTTTGTTGTATTTTAAAATCAATTAGTGTCCTAATTCTTATTAATGCACATAAATATAATTCTCTTCACCTGGGACCAGAATGATAGTACAGTGAGTAGAGTACTTACCTTGCATGTGGCCAATACCTCATATGGTCCCCCAAGCCCCACCAGGAGTGATTTGAGTACAGAACTAGGAGTATGCCCTGAGCACCACTGGGTGTGATCCCCCCCCAAAAAACACCAAAATAATTGCATTTGTCTTACTAAATAAAGAATGTTGGATCCCTGAAAAAAAATTTTTTTAGTTGGACTCAGGGATAGCTCAGTGGTAGAGCACCTGCCCTGCAGACATTAGTTCTAAAGTTTCATCTTCAACACAGTCCCATATACTGAGGACAATCTTGGCACTATTGTTTGGGATCCTTGGACCCACCACAATGTGAGTTCTATCCATGTGTGTGATATCAGTTGTAGCATGTCCAAATGAGTGAGAACACTACAACTAAGGTGTGAAATCCTGGCAAGTATCACAACCAAATGCAGACAACCCTAGGTCATCAGAGCAACAACAATAGAAAGGAAAGGGGAAAAATTTGAAACAAAACAAAACAAAACAAAACATTTAATTGTAAAATAGCAAGATCAACAGCATGATCTATTAAAAAAGACCTGAACTTTGGAGCATCATAATATGGGTTATTTCCTAGATAAATATCTGTTCAGAAAGCAACAATTAAAGCCAACAGTTCCAAACTCTCTTTTTTCAGTGTCTAATAACATATTATTTACTAATAATTTTTTTAAAACTAGGTAAGAACCTTACTGATTCTGAGAAAAGCACATTTAGGCCAACAGACAGTTGTTGTTGTAGCTGTTGTTTTAGCAGGTGGGTAGAGTTTGGGTCACACCTGGCAGTTCTCAGGGCTTAATCCTGTGTCTGTGCTCAGGCATCACACTTGGTGAAGAATGGGGAGCATATGAGGTGCCAGGGATTGAACTTTTGTGGACCACACTTATGGAAAAATGCTGTACTATCACTCAGCCCGAGCTAATGAACAGCTTGTATCTATACCTGAATCTTAATCTGCAACTAACTCTATGAGTTTAATAAAACCACAATAATATGATAACCATAAGTGTTGTGTTCATATATGTACCAATTTCAGAGTAGATGCCAAATGAATATTCGTTGGATAACATTGTGTTGTCCTTGCTCCTCCCACAGGGAGCTTAAAGTTTATTGAGCTACTCCCACAACAGTTCCCCTGAGGCACACCCAATTTCATCAAGCACTAATAATCCTATATTGCTTTCTCTTTCCTTTATGTCATTTGCATGGTTTATTTAACAATGTCCTTTTTGTATAAATACAGGAAGGCAGTTATGCTATGCTTTGTAACATAGGAGTTAATTGACTCCAAAGTAATATTTACTCCTGGGCATCCATATTTACTTGACTTAAGCCTCAGTTGCCTTTAGATCCTAGCACTCCAAAAGCAGGGTCCCGACAGAGGAACTGGATGGAACCAGGGTACGCTGTAAGCTACCCTGGCATCAAAAGGAGACGAGCTAAGCACCATAAGTATAATAAGTTAGGAGCATGGTCATGGACAAATTCTGCTGCGACCTAAAAAGAAGTAATTGAATAAGGACCCTGCTGGGGTGAGGTAAGACTAACCTGACCTGAGGACTATGGTCTGGAAGATATAGTGAGTTGTCCCTAGGAAGAGCCAACCTTACTTTATCTCTTACTATATACAAAATGACTAGAAATATTATAAGAAGTAGATTTACTATGATTGTTTAAATGGATCACTAGCTGAGGAAAGGATGAAGTAATACACCCTGGATGGAATCCCATGCCTTGAGCCTACCTCCTAGTAATCTGGAGTGTTGAATCCTCAAATGAGATTTTGTCCTTGAGTTAATCTCCTGAAGGAGTGGTTTTACATCTCTTTGTTGTTATGATAATATTCACCCCCACCTTTGTATATCACCACCCTTCATGATTTCTATATAACTATGCTGTGAGGGGTAAGAGGAGACTAGATGCTGAAGACTAGAGAGAACAGAGACTTTGGGACTTTGGAACTAGAAGGAGGACTAGATGATGATGATGACTGGAAGTAGAGGACTATGAGACTACGACGTGATGGGGAAGAAGAGATAAGAAAGAGAGGGCTTTGAGATCTACAAAGAGACTAGGATGAGGGAAACATGATGACCGGGACCTGACCAAAACTACAACTATGACTGTGCCGTAAGGGAGAGATGGAACTACATAGGGGAGGAGAGAGAAATAAACTGACTACCAACTACTGGGGCCTGGGGACTGTTTCTCCATTCCCATCTGTTCCCGTCCATTCCTGTCCATCCCCATTTGTCCATCGCCATGTGTTGGCCAGGAGGCGGCTCTTGGCCACCGACCACTCAAGTCCGCTTGCACCCACGCACTTTTTCCTTTTGAAACTGACAAATATTAATTCTTTTCTTCTATTGACTCAACTTCTACCCAGTTTTTAAACCCAATTTGATGTTTATTGATTGCTGTGTATTTTTAGGTTTCTTCTAAGGGAAAAGTTGTCCACTTTGGAATAGAGAAGAAACTCCCAGGTTTATCCTCCCAACTCTTGAACCTTCCCCTGTCTCAGCACATGGCTCCTACAGCCTGTCTCCTGGTCTACTACTTTGTCACAGGAATTCAGACAACAGATTTAGTGTCTGACTCAGTCTGCCTAAAGAGTCAAGAAAAATGTGGCAATCAGCTTCAGGTAAGCCACAAAGACACCTGCCAGCCTGAATTCCTCTTCTTTGTTCTAACACGAAGACTGTTTAAACTGACACTAAAATTCTTTCTTTTTCAAATAATTTTAGATACATCTGTCTCCAAATAAAGATGCATATTCACCAGATGAAGACCTTTCTCTTACTGTTGAAACTCAGTCAGAATCATGGGTAGTGGATGTTGCTTAATCTTTCTTCTATGGGTAGCCCACAGTGTCTGACAGAACGTTGGTGGTCACTTGGCCCTGAGTCAAATCAAGTAACAGTAATCACAGCAGTTATTATTATTATTTGCTTTTTGGGTAGCACCTGGCAATGCACAGGGGTTACTCCTGGCTCTTCACTCAGGAATTACTCCTGGCGGTGCTCAGGGGATCATATGGGATGTTGGGAATTGAACCCGGGTCGGCCGTGTGCAAGGCAAACGCCCTACCTTCTGTGCTATCACTCCAGCCCCTACCAAAGTAAATTTGAGTAGCATTAATTTGTAAATTTATATGGAACACTCTATTTCCTCGAGCAGGCACCAGTAACGTCTCCTTTGTCCTAGCCCTGGGATTTTAGAAAGTGCCACATTCAAGCCTCTTTCAGGGTCAGAAGAATGATACCCATCATTGTTACTGGTTTTTGGCATATTGGATACACCATGGGAAGTTTGCCAGACTCTGCTGTGTGGGCAAGATACTTTCAGTAGCCTGCCAGTTTCTCCAGAGTAAGAACTAGGGGTTTTATAGTCTCTGGGCCTTGGCTGTTGATGGGATTACATGGTGCTGGGAGCAGTTGGTGGGTGTAATGCCTACATACTGGAAGATGGTGAATCTGGGTGGAGGAGGCCCAGTCCTGATCCGAGAAGGCTTGGAGATCTAAGCCCCGGGTCCTGCATGCCTGGGTTCCTCTGCCAATTCCTTCATGCATGAGGCTCGTCCTAATGTGTGGAGAGTGGTCTTAAGCATGACCGTGGCTGGAACCAGAGGTCTTCAGCTGTCGGGGCTCTGCTTAGGGCAGGTCCTCAACCTGCCCTCCTCCAAGGAGCCCCGGTGAGGACAGCCAGGCATGGGAGTTAATTCCCACAACCCATTATCTCAGAGAGCCACAGACTCAGGCGGAATTGAGGAATTGCTCTTTGCAGAAAAACAAAAACCAGTCCTAGGCCCTAGCCAGGTCTTCCAGGTACTTGCCTTTCTCACACAAAAGAATTTCAGGAGTAGACCAGCAGTGAAGTAAAAGCAGTTTTTATTTGGAGGTTTTCTAAGGGGAAGGAGGGAAGAGAAAGAGAGAGTAACAGGCTCAAGAGAAAATGTGGGTTTCTCCAAAGGCAGAGAGAGTCTTGAATGGCCTTTAAGGCCAGCTTTATAAGAGATTTTCTCCAGCTTGCCTTGGCCTGGAGTTTTCTACCAGAGGGTGAGAGTTGACCAAGTATTGTCACAAAGGAAGAACTTTGAAGTTTTCAGTCAATCTCTTTATTGCAGTCTCTGTCTCTGCTGAAGTTTGTGGTCTCATGTAGGGGGTCCAACCTCCTCTGGGTCTGTTGATACCAGGTAAGGGTCATATCAGGCCTTAGTTCCTGTGCTCACAAGGCAGGCTTCTTGCAGCCTTGAAGCTCTTAGTTTTATTATTTCCCAAGAATCCCGTTGCCACGAGGCCCTTTCCTGTCTATCTGCCTACCTCACTACCACAGTAAGTTTAGTTTACAACCGTCATCTGCAGAAAAAAAGATTCTCTCTGTAAGGCTACACTCCACCTGTAGGTTCTAAGGAGGCATCCCTTTAGCCTCTTCAAGTTTCTGATTTCCCTTGACTTGTGGATGCATTTCTCCAATCCATGTCTTTGTCTCATCTGGCTGTAGTTTTCTGTTTCTGTGTCTTTACCTCCTTCTCTTACAAGGACAATTTATATCTATATATTTTAAAGACAGTGTGCACCCTAATGAAGACTAATGTTCTATATCAATCCATAATTGGATCTGCTAAGAAACAGATCCCAAACAACAGCACTTTTTTAGGACCTCATTTTATTTACTTTTTTAGAATTATTATTTTTCAAATTGAATCACTGCTAAATACACAGTTACAAAGCTGTTCATGATTGGGTTTCAGTCATACAAAGCTCCAACATCCATCCCTTCACCAGTGTACATTTCCCACCACCAATGTTCCCTCACTTTCCACCCCCCTCCACCCCTCATCCCCAACCTGCTTCAATGACAGGCACTTTTCTTTCTCTCTCAACAAGAGCACTTTTATATATACCAGAAAGTACAAATTGGAGATACTGGTTTATACACATGTATTCTATTTAGGTAACATTGGTTTGAGATAACAGCCTATAAATGTTTACCAAGATGCCAAGATGGTTTCTTTCTTCTTGTTTTTTTTTTTAAATTATTATGCACAGGGCTAGAGTGATAGCACAGTGGGTAGGCCGTTTGCTCTAAATGTTTAGCAAGAGTATAAATGTTTCTGTTTTAGGAGTACAATATCACCTTACCCTGCAACACAATCCTCTGGACCCCCTCAAGACTTTTAATCTATTGCCTTCCTCAATCAAACTGGAAGGTCATTGTGTAGTCTATTGATTTTTTTCTTTATATGGTTATACATGAATGAGATAATTTAGTATTTGTCATTCTCATTCTGACTTGGTTTGATTAGCTAGGCCCTACACTTCCTTTCATTTTGCAAAGATCAGACTTTATCTTTTCTAAATGCTGAGTAGAATTTCTTCAGAATTTCGAAGTAACATATCTTTATTTACTCCTCTGTCATTGTGTACTTAAATAGTCTAAATCTTGACTTCTTGTACACTTGAGTTGTTTCCAAGTTGTATACTTGAGTTGTTTCCAAATCTTGGCTACTACTGTATTTAGTGTGGCATGAACATAGGTATGCATACATTATTTTTGTTGCTGTTGTTCTTCAGATGTATAATTGGGAGTTGAATAGCTGGATTATATGATTTATCTAGGTTTTGAGAACTTATACTTTTTTTTTCATAGGGTCTGAACCAATTTCTATTCTCACAAACAGTGAATGAAGTTTCCTTTCTTTAAAAAAATTAACTTTTATTAAGACATAGTGATTTATAAAGTTATTTATAATAGAGTTGTTTCAGTCATGCAATCTTCCAACAGCAACACTAATCCCACCACCAGTGTACCTGCCCCTCTTCCAGTGTCCTAAGGTCCCCTCCCTGTGGGGAGCCAGAGGTCTCCATCTTGACTTTGTGAGTCTGTACATTCCTCACAAGCACATGGCATCCCACCACATGGCCCTTGGATGATGCAACCTGGCTAGCTTCTCTGTAACTCTCCACTCCTTATATGGCTATCTTGACTGTCTGTCCACTGACCATTAGTCACGACAGAGATCAGCCCATTCTGTTTTGCAAGCGCACCACCTTAAGGTATATAAGTGCCTTGCAGACAATAAAGGTCGTCACATGTTCCCTGTCCAAGACGTGCATACATTCCTTCTCATTCAGGAGCTCCCTCACCCAGGATATCCCTCATAGATGGAGTCCTGCAGGTCGGGACCCCACAGCACCCCAAGCATCCCATATCACCCCACACCTCCCACTCTTTCTCTTGGCAGGCATCTAACAAATTTATTTCATATTATTTGCTCCAATATAAGAGAGTTTCTTTTTCTCCACACACTTGCTAATGTTTCTAGTCTTTTAAACTGACTGTTCTCAAGGTTGTGGAATGATATCTCATTGCTGTCTTAATTCTCATTCCCTGATTAATAATGAGTATTCTTTCATCTGCTCCCAGGCCATCTGTATATCTTCCTTGGTGAAATATCTGTTCAACTCTTTTCTACATTTTTCATGGGGTACTTTTTGTTGTTGTTGAGTTTTGTGAGTTCTTTGTGTGCCCTGGATATTAGACCTCTGTCAGATGTTTGGTCTCTGAATATTTACTCACATTTAGTTCTATTCCCCTAATCCCCGGTGCCTCTTGGGAACCAAATCTCATGGGACCAGACCTTTTGGGATCACATAGAACAATGGGACCTCATGGAACAGTGGTACTCTGTTGTACATTCTGGTTGGGGGATCAGTGTTGCTATTTAACTAATATTATTGAATGCCTTAGAGAAGGCAGGGCCAGCTCACTGGGGACTCCTGGGTCCTGGGATCCTGCAGAACCAGAAAATAAAGTTTTGTTCCAACCAAAATAAATTTTTTTAGTGACCTGTGATTGCACACACTTGGTTGTGGTGTTCATATATTTGGCTGTGGTGTTTTCTTGACCTTGCAGAGCTCTGTGATATTCTGTCTAAAGTTGTCCAGCATGAATTGGTCATAGCGAATGAGACAGATAAACACATAAGGGGACAGACAAACACACAGAGATTGTCTAAGCTTTAGGTTACTTGGTCAGCCACCATGTTCTCACATGTGGACAAGGTATTCAATACAATGTCACTCCCTTACCACAGGTGAGCCATTGTAGACAGAGACTTCAAGGACAGTTACTAAGTACATTAACATTCAAATGAGGCTGGGGGAGGGGGGTTACATAGCTATCCAAAGGTACCCTGAAAGTACAGAATGAAATCCTGACTGTTTCCTATTCTATTTTTCTCTCCTGTAGTCCCGAATCAGTCTAATTCTATACTCTCCTGGTATTTTGTTGTTGCTGCTGTTATCTATTCTATTATTTCTTGATATATTATTCTTTCCTGGGTACATTTTTGCAAACCCTTAGCATTCTAATATCTAATTTATTTAAACTAAGGTCATATCCCATCCTGTGGCTTTTTGTTAGGGGGATGAATTCCCATAGTGCCCCATGCCTTGGTTTTGCTGCACTACTGATGTCATGTTTTGCTGCAGTGTCAGGGACCTCAGTAAGCAGAACTGCAGGGATCACATCAAGGTATGTAGGTAGAGCTGGGGATTGAAATCGAACCTCACTAATTTCCATACCTCCAAGGCAGGCTCTTTACATAACAGCACTGAGCTCTGCACAGGCCTGTCTTTTTGGTTGAAAGACAGTTGCACTATGAAGAAGTTCTTTTTTTTTTAGTTTTAAGGAGTTTCTGATCACATCTAGTGGTGCTCAGAGTTTATTCCAGGCTCTGTGCTTAGCAATTGCTCCTGTGATGCTTGGGGTACCATATGTGATGTCAGAGGTTTGAATCAGGATTGGTCTCATGTGAGGCAAGAGGTTAACCTCCTGTGCT